AGACATTGGGGAGGGTATGTGCTATGGTGAGCGCTGTAAATTGTGTAAGACTGTTGAATCACAGATCTGTACCTCTGAAACAAATAATGCATTATATCTTAAAAAAAAATTAATAGGAGGGGAAAAATGAAGGGGGGGAAATCGGAGGGGGAGACGAACCGTGGGAGACTATGGGCTCTGAAAAACAAACTGAGGGTTCTAGAGGGGAGGGGGTGGGGGGAATGGGTTAGCCTGGTAATGGGTATTAATGAGGGCACGTTCTGCATGGAGCACTGGGTGTTATACACAAACAATGAATCATGGAACACTACATCAAAAACTAATGATGTATGGTGATTAACATCATAATATAAATAAAAAATGCTGGACAATTTTTTTAATACATGATAATGTATTTTCATGTTTAAGGACCATTTGCATTTTATTCTGATATATTGTTGTATTTGCCCAATTTTTTAAACTTTTTTTTTTAAGTAGACTCTATCCCCAACATGAGGGCTTGAACTCATGACCCCGAGATCGAGAGTTACACGCTCCAATGACTGAGCAAGCCAGGTGCCTCTTCCTCAGCTTTGTTATCAGTTTTTAGGAGCCTTTTATTTATTTATTTTTAAAGATTTTATGTATTTATTTGACAGAGAGCACACAAGTAGGCAGAGCAGCAGGCAGAGGGAAAGGGAGAAACAGGCTCTCTGCTGAGCAGGGAGCCTGACACAGGTCTCAACACTGGGGACATGGGGCTGGACCCCAGGACCCTGGGATCATGACCCTCAAAGACAGCCGCTTAACCCACTGAGCCACCCAGGTGCCCCCTTAGGGGCCTTTTATTTGTTAAGGAGCTTAACTTTTGATTTGTAATATGCACTGCAAATATTTTTCCTTCAGTTTGTCTTTTTTGCTTGAATATATCAATCTTTTTTTATAGTGCCTGGTTTTTGAGCTATAGCTAGAATGAGCTTCTGTACTCCAAGGTTATAAAAAGGAATTTACCTGGTTTTATTCTAGAACTTTTATAAACTTATGGTTTATATTTAAATATTTGATCCTAGTAGGAGGTTATGCTGGTAAATGATGTGCGATATGAATCCAGTTTTTTTTTCCCAGATGGGAATATTAATTATTCAAACATCATTCATTGCATAGTCTTTTTCCCTCCTCAGTTCTGAGTTATCTCCTTCGTCGTTTACCATTTTCTGTTTCTGGACTTCATCGTTGTTCCATTGATATATTTTGTACTACTGCCATATTGTTTTGAGGCTTTATAGTATCTGGTAATGCTAGTTTCCTTCTAATGTTATTTTCTTTTGGAATTCTTCTGACTTGTTTTACCTTTTAATTTTTCTACAATGACTTTTGTTTAACTATATTTCTTATTTGTGTAAGTAGTCTGTACACCCAGTGTGGGGCTTGAACTCACAACACCAAGATCAAGAGTCACGTGCTGTTCCAGTTGAGCCAACCAGGCGCCCCTCCACATGAATTTTAGAATCAGCTTGTTTCCAAAAACTAATTCTGTAGGCATTTTGGTGTGGGTGGGGGAGTGGGAGGTGGAGGGGATTGCTTTAAATTTACAGATTAATCCCTTATGATGATGATTCTAAGTTGTAGCTTTAATCTTTTCTCTTACAGATGATATTAACCGTGTTCTTGAGCAACAACGAACAGATTCTGACAGAAGTTCCTATAACACCAGAAACAACATGTCGAGATGTTGTAGAATTTTGCAAGGAACCTGGAGAAGGCAGTTGCCATTTAGCTGAAGTGTGGAGGGGAAATGGTATGTATTAGGCTCTGTAGAGATGACTAAGTACATAAAACGTAATATTTATCAAATGCAAAATATTTCTTGTAGTTCTTAGTTATCTGTAGTAATGAGGAATTGAGTAATTCACATTACATGGGGATAAGATTTTACAAATGCTTTTCGTAAAAGATATGTAATTTGACCCTTATTACTAGTGCCATCTGAAATAAGTAGGGAAAATAGATGGAGCTCTTCTGTGAGATCTTTCTTGATCTCACTACGAACCAAATGAGAGTTCTCTGTCCTCTGAGACTTTACAGTGTGTTGTTTGATATGTATCGAGTTGTTCGTTGTTCATCAACTTTTCTTTTTCCCTCTGACACTTCAAGGCAGAAACATTATTTTTTTTCACCGCGTACAAAACCTGTTAAACAGTCTGTCCTTGATCAGTATTTATTAAATTGTGAAGAGCAAATGCAGTTGACCCTTGAGTAACACAGGTTTGAACTGCTCAGGTCCACTTGTATGTGGATTTTTTTTCATTAAATATATTGGAAAATTTTTGGAGATTTGCAACAATTTGAAAAAACTGAGATAAACCACATAGCCTAGAAATACCCAAAAAATGAAGAAAAAGTTAGCTATTACTGTAAGAACACAGTATGTAATACATGTAACATACAAAATATGTGTGAATTGGCTATTTATTTTATCAGTAAGGCTGTCGTCCAACAGTAGGCTATTAGTATTTAAGTTCTGGGGGAGTTAAAAGTTATATGTGAATTTTTGCCTGCACACGGGGTCAGTGTCCCTAACCTCTGTGTTGTTCAAGGGCTAACTCTACTGGCTCTTACAGTGAAGCTGGGCAAAGATCAGCGTAAGTGATACGATTACTGAATACAGAAAATTCTGCAAAATAATTTGGACTCTAAAGGAGAGGTTGACTGTAGATAGGCTGTACTCAGCAGGGGAAGCGATGTGAAGGAAGGACAAGAGAAGAACACAGACACAGTGTGCTTCTAAGATCGCTAAGGGACTGGTGTTAAGGGAAGGTAGACAGCTAGCTGAGGGACAGGTATTGAGAGAAAGTAGGCAGCAGGGAAGAGACTAGAAGAACTAGCTTGCAGAAAGGCCTTCAGTACCAGCCGAGGATTTACGCGGTAGGAAAACAGAGGGAGTAGGTATGGACAGGTCTGCGTTGCAAAGGAAGAGAATGATCAGCTGGAACATGCTGAATCTGAGGTGATAATGAGAGCATCCAAATTCAAGTGTTTAAAGGGGACTTAGGGATAATCACTGAAGGCTTATTACACTTTTTTTAATAGCTTTATTGAGATAAAATTCATATACAATATGTTCACCCATTTAAAGTGTGCAATTCAGTCATTTCAGTGCCCTCAGGGTTGTGCAGCCATCACCCCAATCAAAGAACATTTTCATCACCACAAACAAGAAACTTCATACCCCTTAGCAATCATTTCCTATCCCTCTCCAACCCCCTCCATCCTGAGGAGCCACTAATCTCCTGTCTGTAGATTTTCCCGTTCTGGATAGTTCACATAAATGGAATCATACAATATGGAGTCCCCTTTGGCTGGCTTTCATTGAGCATGATGTTTTGCAAGGTTCATCCATGTTGTTTTGGTATCAGTACTTCATTCCTTTTTGTTGCTGAATAATATTCTACTAGATGGATTTTTGTTTATCCATTGCAATTGATGAACATTTGGGTTGCTTCCACTTTCTAGCTATTATGAGTAGTGCTGCTGTGAACATTCGTGTACAAGTGTTTGGGTGGATGTTTGTTTTCACTTCTCTTAGGTGTGTACTTATGAGTAGGATTGCAGAGTGGTAAGGCAATTGTTTAACTTGTTGAGGAATTGCCAGCTTATTATCCAAAGCAACCATTTTATAGTCTCAGCAGCAGTAAGTGAGGGTTCCAGTTTCCCCACATTCTTGCCAACACTTGATATTATGTATATGATTCTAGCCATCCTAGTGGGTGTGAGCAGTATCTCATTGTGGTTTTGATTTGCATTTCCGTAGTGACTAATGATGTTGAATATCTTTTCATGTGCTTATTGGCCATTTGCATATCTTCTTTAGAGAAATGTCTATTTAGATCCTTTGCCCATTTTTAATTGAGTTGTCTTTTTATTGAGTTATAAGAGTTTTTGTTTTTAATTGAGGTATAATTGACATATAACATATTAGTTTCACATACCTAGTGGTATTTGTATATATTGTGAAATGATCACTTCAATAAGTCTAATTAACATCCATCGCCACACAGTTACAAAAAAGTTTTTTTCTTGTGACCAGAACTTTCAAGATCTATTCTTCTAGCGACTTTCTTTTTTTTTAAGATTTTTTAATTTATTTGACAGAGAGATAGAGCAGGGACACAAGCAGGGGGAGAGGGAGAAGCAGGCTTCCCACCAAGCAGGGAGCCTGATGTGGGGCTCGATCCCAGGACCCTGGGATCATGATCCGAGCCAAAGGCAGATGCCTAACGACTGAGCCACCCAGGTGCCCCTTTTAACAACTTTCAAATATGCATTACAGTATTATTAACTAAAGTCTCCATGCTGTACATTACATCCCCAGTAAGAGTTCTTTATATATTCTAGATACAAGTCCCTTGTCGGGTATATGATTTTTAAATATTTTCTTCCAAAGTCTTGTGCTTTTAATGTGATCCTTAGAATTCAGAGCAAAGATTTTGGGGTACATTGAGAGGAATTTGACTTTGATAAATGTTGGACTATTACTAAACCAGAAGTAAAAGGGTAGGTCCTCAGTTCTCAGTCTGATAACAGTGACAGGAAGCCGGGGGGGGGGGGCGGTGTGTGCAGGGACAGTTAAGTAATGACAGTTTGTTGGGGAACTGCTGTTAGAGCCTGATCATTGTGTTATTGTTGCTTCTTCCCCAGCCTCTTAGCACTCTTGTTCTTTGTTACTTGTTATCACTTCTAAGTCTTGACCTCCCTCTCCCTCTCTTTTAACATATATGGGAGGGAATAAACTTTTACTGTTAAGTATCATTGCTCCAGATAGTCACCTGGCCATTGAGAATGCCAGTCTCCCTTACAGGAGTCTTTCGGTTGGTGCTCTCCTTGTTTCCAAGCCCACCTGAAATCATACCCCGTTGTTCTACCTCACCAGGAATGAGGACTAACCCCTCACAGCAGAGGGTCGCAGCATACTGTGGTTGCTTTGGCTTTTGTATCTGCTGTTCTCATTGTCTGGGACAATCCCTAGCACCCATCTCCCTTTGCTTGGCTAACTTCTGTTCATTCTTTGCCTCTCATCCCTTCTTTGAGTCTCAGAGGGTGTTACAATGACCCTCCCCTGTGCTGCAATGCTGTCATAGTATTTATCAGAATGGAATACAGCAGTTTTCATCTCTCTCATTGGACTACAGTTCCTGACGGCAAGGCAGGAACATGTCTGTTCGCTATCATATTCCCTCAGTAAACACTTAAACCATTGAGTAAAATAGACAGCAAAGGTGGGTCTTGAAGAGATACTTTCTGGTGGGTAAGATTCAGAGGAAGGGGGAAAGCACTTAGAACAGCCATTCTCTATTTTTTACTCTAGAGAAACCCTTACAGAAATTTTCAGGTTTCAGAGAATCCTTGCATAAAAATTATTGCATCTACAACTCGTGGTATATTAGTGTGCTCAGTGTGTCATAAGTATAATACCCCCCTATAATTGTCAGTGCTTTGGAGAAGAGCCTCGTTCTCTGCGGCTCTGTGTTATCAGTTTGCTAGTGCTGCCATAACACAGTACTGCAGCCTCGGTGGCTTAAACACCAGACATTCATTCTCAAGTCTGAGGTCAAAATGTTGGCAGGCTTAGTTTTTCCTGAGGCCTCTCTCCTTGGCTTACAGATGCCACCCTCTCTCTGTGTCTTCCCTCTAGTCTCTTCTTCATATGAGGACATAGTGGATTCGAGCCCACCCTAGTGACCTCATTTTTACTTATTACCTCCTTAAAGATCCAGTTTCAAAAAGGTTGCATTCTGAGGTTCTGGGGGTTAGGAGTTCAACATATGAATTAGTGGGGGCACGCAGCTCAGCCCATCACAGCCTGTCAGTCTGGCCAGTTTGCCTTACTTGTGCTTCCCTCCCAACACAGGACCAGCTCTCTTGTGAACCAGGTGTGGAGGTAGAATCTTCAGCTTTTCCTTTTGTCAAGTTTCCTACTTGCTTTTATTTTTGCCTTATCCAAGAATACCTGGAAGTCTTATCGTAGATGCCCATTACTAGAGACGCTGTTAGCTTCTCCGCTCACAGGAGCACGATGTTTTAGGTAGCCTTTATTATTTAAAACAAGGGCAGTGAAGCTTAGCTTACTTTTCTTGAAATTAGTCTTTTCTTTGAAATTTTTAATTCATAAAGGGAAGCAATAAATTTGTTAAATAACTGACTTAGGACAAAATTGGATTTAATCGTTATGAAGTTATGCTCAGGGGCGCCTGGGTGGCTCAGTCAGTTGAGTGTCAGACTCTTGGTTCTGGCTCAGGTCATGATCTCAGGGTCCTGGGATCGAGTCCTGTGTCAGGCTCTGTGCTCAGCAAGGAGCGTGCTGGAAATTCTCTCCCTGCCTCTCCTCTGTTCCTCCCCCTTCTCACGCTCTCTCTCTAAAAGAAATAAATACAATCTTAAAAAAAAAAATCTTTTTTATAGGCCTGTATACATAAAAAGTGTTACTTCTAAAACTAATTTACTTCTTTAAAGTTCACTTTGTGCTTGGGTTTTTTGTGCAAATAATTGTGTGCTGAACTTGAGCTAAGCAAACACATATTTCATTTTCAATGGAGATGAGACCATTTCTGTCTTTGCCCTGACATTTGAGGAGCAAGACAGAGCTTGCCCGCACGTGCAGGAGGGTGCAGCTTTAGCAGCACAGTGCTCGTTACATTGCTGGGAAAGGCAGGACCCTTTTCTTTATAGAAGTCTAGAACTTGTCTGGGGCAGAGCAATGCATCACACCGTGAATGTATGATTAGACTATAGCCCGTAAAGTTCTTTCTTTGCCTCAAAGTCCACTTCTCAGGGTGGATTTAGAGAAAACCCACTTCTCAGAGCACATTTAAAGAAAGGTTTCTCATGCAGCCATATGCTCATGTTAAAGGTGGACACCGCTGCTCACTGTTGTCCCGCCACTCTCCCAAGTCACTGCCTGTGAGCCCCCAGTCTTGCTGATATCCTTCCTCACTTCCAAGCACAAGCAGCAGTGGGAACATTTCAGGATTTCCTTTTTTCTCCTTTAACTTGAGATAAAATTCACATATCATAAAAATCACTATTTTTAAGTGTACGGTTTGGTGGCATTTAGGACATTCACGGTGTTGTATAGCCATCACCAAACTGTTCCTCTCCATTCCTTCCTCCTCTAGCCACTGGCAACCACTGTATGACTATCTGGCCCTATGTATTTGACTATTGTAGGTACCTCCTATAAATGGAATCATATAATATGTGGCTTTTTGGTCTGGCTTCTTTTACTTAGCATAATATTTTCAGGGTTCATCCATGTTGTAGTATATCTCAATACTTAATTCCTTTTTTTGACTTAATAATATCTGTAGTGTGATAGACCACATTTTATCCATCAGCAGGTGATGGACCTTTGGGTTGTTTCTACTTTTTGGTTTGTGATAATGCTGCTGTGAACATTCACATGTAAATGCTTATGTGGGCATGTTTTCACTTCTCTTGAGTGTAGGCCTAGGTTTAGAATTTCTCTTATCTCACACCTTGTCTTCAAAAATTGCCACTTTACGGGGCACCTGGGAGGCTCAGTCGGTTAAGCATCTGCCTTTGGCTCAGGTCATGATCCCAGGGTCCTGGGATCGAGCCTCGCATCGGGCTCCCTGCTCAGCAGGAAGCCTGCTTCTCCCTCTCCCACTCCCCCTGCTTGTGTTCCGTCTTTCGCTGTGTCTCTCTCTGTCAAATCAATAAAATCTTTAAAAAAAAAAAAATTGCCACTTTGGGCTTCCAGGAATGTTTGTAAAACACAAACACTAATAAAATATAAAACAGAAAGGCATACTTAATAATTAAGCAAGAAATTACCAAAAAAAATATGAAAATTTCACAATACAATTTACTTTTCACCTACACAAACCACATTTGTTAATGTTGGTAATAGCAAAGAGTGGAGGTAGGGGGGTAGCTCCTGAGGTATTAAACTCTTCAGAATGAGAAATTCCCTCCAGTTTCCTATTACAGAGCTAGAGGTTATAATAGGTCCTATGAATCAGTCGTCGGCATGTGAAGAAGTATTGGGGGAGATGTTTCTGGAGAAAGAGGCTAATGCCATCAGCCTGCAGTCCTCCCCTCCATGCATTACAGCACTCACCATTTACCAGCTGCCTGTTTGAGAACTGGGTAGTAGTTGGGGTGGGGGGTACCTGGCAGACACCACTTCAGCTCAGTGGTCGAGCCCAGCTTCACGGTGATCTGTCATGGTGATGGCACACACAACCTGGTGTGATGAGAGGAGAAGGTATCCCACCTCTGTGGAGTTCTCCCCAAAATCCATCACCTCAGTCTAACCATGGGAAAAACATTAGACAAGTCAAAATTATGGGCATTCTACAAAATACCTGACCAGAACACCTCCAGATTGTCAAGGGCATTAAAAAAGGGGGAGGCGGGGAGGACGGAACTGTTACAGAGCAGCGAGACCGAGGGTTTAAGATAAGTAAATGCAACGTTGTTTTCTGGTTCAGTTCCCGGAACAGAAAGAGGACATTAGGGGAGAAACTGGTGGTGTGCAGATAAAGCCTGGAATTTAATTAACACTAATGCACTAGCATCAATTTCTTAGTTTTGACAAAGATTCCATAGTTAAGATGTTAGCATTAAGGGAAACTGGGTGAACTCTGTACTGTCTTGGCTACTTTTCTAGAGGTCTGCAATCATTCTAAAATGAAAGTTATTTTTATATATTATGTAAACAAAAAAAAATTTGTAAGGTACAAGGGAATAGATTAAGATTTACCAGACCTCTGTGGGGACTTCAAAAAAAAAAAATCACTGGGGGCACCCAGGTGGCTTGGTTGGTTAAGTGGCTGCCTTCTGCTTGGGTCATGATCCCAGGATCCTGGGATCAAGCCCCGCGTCGGGCTCCTTCCTCAGCGGGGAGCCTGCTTGTCCCTCTCACGCTGCCTGCTGCTCTGCCTACTTGTGTTCTCTCTCTATCTTTGTCAAATAAACAAATAAAATCTTTGGGAAAAAAAAAAAAGGAAAGAAAAGAAAATCAATGAAGAACACAAGGTGCCTGAACAAAATAGACAGAGCCATGTTCATGGACTAGAAGACTCAGTTTACAGAGATTTTTGGGTCTCCCCAAATTTTATTTATAAATAAATTAATATGATTACAGTCAAAAGCCTACGTTTAAAAAAAGAACTTGATGAGCAGCTCCTTTAAAAGATATATGGGAGCAAAGGGCCGAGCAGTGCCAAGACAGTCTTAAAGATAAGCCACGTGAGGGGACCTCACCTAGCAGACAGCAGTGATGAAGTGGTAGCCTTGAAGACTGGCATCGCACCAAGGGAGAGCAATAGCCCACAAAATAGAAGAGACCGGGGTCACTAGGGCCTGAGCCGGGTCAGAGGTGACAGTCATTGGTTTCCGGTAAGTAAATGATGCTGGGACAATTGACGATTCAAGTAGGAAAAACAAAATCAGATCAGTTCCATAAAGACAGTGAAAAACAATACTTAATAATTTGTAGGAAAAAAATATAGATATCCCTTTGACCTTGGAGTAGAAAGGATTTATTGTACAAAAAAATTCAAAATCAGAAAAGATTGGTATAACAAAAGGCACCAACAAAATTAAAAGACAAGCCTATTTTCAATATAACCAACCCAGGGTTAGTATCCAAAATATAGATAGTTCTTCAGATACCTAAGAAAAAGGCAAACAACTCAGGTTTTTGGTTTGTTTTGATTTCTGTTTGTACACATGATGTGGTTCTAAGCAGACTAGCGTGAAACTATGAAATGGTACCTTGTAAGTTTAATACCTGTGTTAGTGCTCTTCTCAAGTGACTGGCGTTAATACTCTGTGAGTAAGGGGGTTTTTAGCTTTATTTTAATATTTGAAATGCATTAGTATATTTGATTCTGTGGAATTTCATTTTTATTATCAACTGGATAGTTTTTGGTCTCTGCAGGTCCTGGCCAACATTCACAGCACTGGTACCTGAGTTGCCAGGAGGTGCCCTGTCCATCCTGTGTGTATCTGACTGCCACAAGCAACATTTTCATGAATGGCGAAGCTGGACCAGTGTGTTAATGTGTTTCTCTGAAGAGTGGAAGGCACAGTGCCTCCTGATAAATAAATATCCTAGAGGGCATTTTTCAGTGTTCCCAATTAATGTTGCAAAATCGCTTTTACATACACTTCTTGTGCTTACGTGTTACCTAAATTATTTCCCGGGAACTCAATACTCCTGCTTTCACCTCATTAAAGTTAAAATTTAGTGCTTATATAATATCCTTGAGTCCTAATACGTGCGTGTGTGTGTGTGTACACACTTATTTAAATCTATATTTTTTACTTTTTGGTTGGAGTCATTTTGTTTCTGGAATAAGTAAGATGTGGTTTTTTTTCTAGAGCGTCCCATACCCTTTGATCACATGATGTATGAACATCTTCAGAAGTGGGGGCCACGCAGGGAAGAAGTGAAATTTTTCCTTCGACATGAAGATTCCCCAACTGAGAGCAGTGAGCAAGGTAGATAAGTGCTTTCCCCATTTGTTAATTCCTGCCATAAAAGTTAATTTAAGTGAAATGGGAATGTTAAAATAAATTACATCTTTGTTTTCCCTTCACTCCTAAGTGGTGAGAGGGAGAGTTGGTGTCTCACATTTCTGTGACCTCTGTTACGGCAGTCCACAACTCCACGCTGTGTGGGCACTCCGGCCTTGCTTCATTCCCTGGGCTCCAGGCCAGTGAGGTGATAGACTCAGACATGTGAGGAGGCCTGCTGTCTAAAGACATTGTTTTTGATAAATACTGGATGGATCAAACATTGAGATTTTAAGAATAAATAAAACCATGAAAGGATTAGAAAAATTCTGAGAAGTGTTTTTTAAAAAAAATTTTTAGAGTGAACAAGAACTTTCTAAGTATAACACTAAGCTATAAAAGACAAACCGAATTATTGAGAAAAGAAGAACACCCCCCCCCAAAAAAAACTGTGGCAATAACCACCCTAAGCAAAGTCAAAAGACAAATTATAAACTGGGAAACAGCATTTATGGTTCATATTGCAAGGGCTAACTACCTTTATATATGAGTTTCTAAATATTGGTAAGGAAAATCTGTTTTTTTATTTGACAGAGACACAGCGAGAGAGGGAACACAGGCAGGGGGAGTGGGAGAGGGAGAAGCAGGCTCCCGCTGAGCAGGGAGCCCAATGCGGGCCTCGATCCCAGGACTCTGGGATCATGACCTGAGCCGAAGGCAGACGCTCAACGACTGAGCACCCAGGCACCCCAGAAAATCAGTTTTTTAAAAAAAGGCGAGATGTACACACAGGTCACAGAAAAGCAAATATACTTGGCTTTAGGTTATGTGAAAGGATGTTCAGCCTTACTCCTAAATAAAAGAATGCAGGGAAAACAGTGGATCTATTTCACCTGTTACGCTGGCAAAGACGAGAACATTTACTAATGCGGTATTGGCAAGGAGGTCGAGAAACAGGCCCTCTTCCGTGATGCTGTGGGAGTGCCAGTTGGCAGCTCCTTCTGAGAGGCAGTTTAGCAATATGTACTAAACCTACAAAAGCACCAGACCTTTCACCTAGCAGTCTCACTTCTGAGAACTTACCCTAAGGCTCTGCCTGCACACACGCAAAATAGTGCGTACGTAACATCGCTCGTAAGGCCTTGTTGCTTGTGGAGCGTTGCTGGTAGGAGCGGCCTGTGCCCACCGTGGGCATCATGGGCATAGGTTAAAGAGATGGCGGTACCTCCGTACAGTAGGCTGCTCCACAGCCAGAAGTAAGGAAGCAGCTCTGTGCCCTGACCCACACCATCTCCTGGACAGGTGGGTAAATAAGCACAGTGCCAAACCACATGCGCATTGTGCTGCCTTCTGCGTGACAGAGACAAAAGCCTAATTCTGTGCATCTGTACTGGCTTGTCCATGTGAAAAGTGTCTTTGGAAGTGTTGTAAGAAACTGGTCACATCGCTAGCCTTGGGGGAAGGCTGCAGGACAGGGGAGGGAGGGCAAATTGTTAATTATGTACCTGTTTGTTCCTTTTGAATTTTGAACCATGGGAGTTCCTTTTGAATTTTGAACCATGGGAGTATGCAACCTATTTTTGAATCAGAATTTAAACAAAATAAGAGAATCTTTTTTTAAAAGTCTGTATATACACTGTGCAGTTAAGAGACCCTTAACTTGTTATTTAACAGTGATTGTGGATTACTTCTGGTATTTAAAAAAATAAATAAGGGACATCCTTTTGTAAAAAGGTTCCTTTATTGCAAATTATCCCCTTTTATTTATATTTTATCAGAAAGGACATTTTGCCCCTAGGATGAGCTACTGGCTACTTAAAATCATCTTTCCATAGCTGTAAATATTGTTCTGGTGCTGTTTTTTACAGTGTATCATTACTTCTGGGTCTTACTGCATCTGCTGCTGGACACCTGGAGTCAGGAGGCCAGGGCTCCAGGGCTAGCTCTTCATCCACCATTACTTTAGACAAGGGCCCAACCTCTCAGGACAAAAGCCTCCTGAGACGGAGGGCTAGACGAGCTGACAGCTGAGTGCTATTCTAGTACCAAGAATTTATTTTAGCTCTCTGCCTGAGCTCTCCAAATACTTATACCCCTCCTGTACCTGGATATACTTTTTATTTTTATTCTTAAGGGTTTATACTTTAAAAAAAAAATTATTTATTTGACAGAGCACAAGCAGGGGGAGTGGCAGGCGAAGGGAGAAGCAGGCCCCCACTGAGCAAGGAGCCCAATGTGGGGCTCGATCCCAGGACCCTGGGATCATGACCTGAGCCAAAGGCAGATGCTTAATTGACTGAGCCACTCAGGCGCCCCAGTACCTAGCTATACTTAAATTAAAAGTTTTATATTTTACTTTTACTGATATAATATTTGCACATACCTGTTAATGTCCTGGGTGGTGGGCTGGGGGGAAGGTCTTATTTTATTCTCACTTTATAAAGTTTAGAAGTGTTAGGGATACTTAAGAGAACTGTTCAGAGTATTAAGAAAGGTGACAATGCTGACCTTCCAGTTACCCTGCATCATCACCCTACAGTGCTGCTCAGCCTGGTGGTGCTGACACAGCAGGTACAGCAGTTAAGTGGGAGGAGGGGATGTTGAGCTGCCTGGTGGGAAGAGGACCACTGTCAGCACAGAGCAGAGCATTCAGAAAAGGCAGACTTTCTGACTTTCTGACCTTGAGGGATGAGCAGGATGTGGAGGGGAGCATGCAGGGTACCAGGTTGAAGGAAGCTCCCAGGAAGGTGTGGTGACGGGGATTCCTAGACTGGCAGGGACCATCAGTCAGGACTGGAAGAACCAAATTCGTCACAGCTTGCATCGCTTTATAGAACCTTCCAGCAAAGTCCCTGCGTCCCTAGTTGACCCTCCTCAGCTTGGCTTAGATGGCATTTGTAATAGGACCCTACCCATCTCTTCAACCTCCCTGTCCCTTCTTTATCCTTTTCAGCCACATCCCTTCTTGCATCTTCATATTCTGTGGGCCCTGACTCACGTAACCCCTCATAATGCTCTGCCCTCTGCTGTGTTTCCTCTGCCTCTGCTTATGCACTGCACCTGTCTCTCAGAGCCCAAGCAGTAAGATGGTGGGTGCTTTGGGGATGCCTGGGTGGCTCAGTCAGTTGGGCATCCGGCTCTTGTTTTCTGCTCAGATCGTGATCCCATGGGTCATGGGATCGAGCCCTGCATCAGGCTCTGCTGTCAGCGGAGAGTCTGCTTAAAAGATTCTCTCCCTCTGCCTCTCCCCACCACTCCCCACCACCATCTCAAATAAATAAGCACATACATATTTTTTAAAAAGGGTGCTTTGTTTTCCTGTTTTGTTTGCTGAGCTTCTCCTCCGGTTTATATTCTAAGCAGCCAGAGTTGAGGATCCAAGAACATGTTTCCTCTGTGCTTCCCACAGAGCTGAGTAGAAGGCAGCTGTCACCAACTGATATTATTTAAAAGGGATTACATTTGAGTGTTTATTGTGTAGAACTACAGGATACATAACAAGAAGTGAAAGAACTCCCTCATCAAAATGATGAGAATTCTGTACCTGGAAGCTAGAGGAGAGCATCGGGGACGTTCGCTTCAGTCCCCTTTTACACTTGGGACAGCAAGCTTAGAGTGTAAAGTAGCTCGATGAGGGCCATGTGCAGAGCATAAACTAGAACCCAGGAGCTGGTGCCCTGGAGACGGGAGCGAGGCTGCTCACTTAGTATGGGTCTTGGGCAAGTGACTTCCCATCCCTCTGCCCGTCTCCTCATCTGCACAGTGCATAGCACTGTGATTGCGGTTGGTGAGGTGTTCTGGTGAAGTGCTCAGTGGGGCTGATACACAGGGAGCACTCACCAAATGTCACCTCTTACTGTTTTTTATTTTCTGACTTCAAAATGTAAGGTCATCTTTACCATCAGAGGTTAAGTGGCATTTGGTATAATGGTATAATGTTGTATGTTTTATAGTATTCTGACTTCTTGGTAGCTTGTTGTTTGGAAGAGGCAGACATTCTAGAATATTAAATTAACCTGAATACCTTATTCCTTAAAAATACCAAGAATAACTAAGAATTTAATTTACCTTCTAAACTGACAGATGCCAAGGTCTAAGGGAAGCTTGTGGCTGTGTGTGTGTGTGAGTGATTCCTGCTACTAGGAAACTGCTCTAGACTCCATGAGGCGGCTGTTGTGTGCTGTAGGACTGTGTTCAGCTGCACACCACGCCACCCACATCTGTTTCACTTCTTTTTGAATTTTCACTCCCTTTTTTTTGGACATTCTATTCTTGTCCGTCATCTTTCCCCATCAGATGTACTATATTTGTTTACGTACTGTATATCTTTGCTGTATACATAAAAAGAGTAAGATATTTTTTATTCCCTAAGGACCAGTCTTTGCCCCCCTGGGGACAATATCAGTGTTTTTGAGAATGCAAGCTTTAAGGTGAAGCAAGCCATACTTCCATTATAGCATTTTTCTTCAAATGTTTCAAAATAATAGGAAAGAGAAGAAAAAAATGTTTTCCTGTGTGTGTGTGTGTGTGTGTGTGTGTGTGTGTAACATGAAGTTCATGTGCCTTTGAAGTCATGGATTTTAGGTACTAAAAAGCAGGCTCTAGGGTTCGATAATTCTCAAATGACATTAAGTAACAGCTGTAGAGGTGAGTGGGCTAGGGGCAGGCGCTGGACACATGAAGGACTTCGGTCTCTATGACTTCAGAGCCACCAGGTGCACAAGTACACAGCACATTTCATTTTGTGTACAAAATATGACAGGACATATAATTTCTACAGTTTAAGTTTGAAGCCTTTTTTGGGAAATACTCTAATTTTTATGGAACAAGGGAGAATTCTTAAGACAGCCTGATTTGTGTTGATGCCCCATGTCAGTTGCAACCCTGCCAGTGAAGACCAGTTCTGTGCACCAGTGTTTTTATTGCTGGATTTTAAGTTCTATTTTAGTCCCTGCTATAATATAAAAGTCTTCTAAAAATATTTAATAAAAACTAGTTGTGGTAAAACACATGTGACATAAAACTTGCCATCTTGACCATTTTAAGTGTTAGAAATCTTTCGATATAAGTCAATTTCAAGATTCTGAAATAGAAGAAAAATTTCTTTTAAACAACTTTATAAAAATTAATTATAAAGCATTTTTTTCAACTGTATCAAGTGTTGAGTTGTTCAGCCTGGTGTATTGTACTTGTGTTAGCATAAATAAATAAGTGGAGAGATGGGAGAGTGTCCTCTTACTACTATGTCTTTTAGTAAGTCTGGCCCTCTTATTTCTCTAGGTGGCCGTCAGACCCAAGAGCAGAGAACTCAGAGGAATGTGATAAATGTACCTGCAGAGAAACGCACAGAAAATGGCGTAAGTAATAGTGAATCAAGTTGAAATTTTGGAATTGCTTTTTATAGGTACTAATGAGTTTGGGTTATAGTTTATTTTTTAAAGACTTATCTTGAGGGTAGAAAGTGGCATTTCTGTTGAATATTTCACATGTTTTCGTGAAGTTCCATAGGGCCACTGAGTGGTTTTTGCAGTCTTCAGTCTGGCCCGCACGCAGGCTGGTCTTGGGCACAGCCCCGCCCTCCAGGCCCTCCACAGGCTGCAGCCACAGCACGTCCTGGTACAGCAGCTGCTCACCTCAGTGCATGTGACAGTGGCCTGTCCCCCAGAAGCAGGTGGTCTCAGTCTCTAGACTAAGATGAGCAGGCAGGCTCGCCTTGTATCTTCTGTGTCCTTCTGTCAGGTTTTGAAAGACAAAATGGCTGGTGGGTTGAAGTCTCCATAGTTGCCTCCAGAAGAGAGAAGTTGCTTAATTAGGTGGTGTAGCCTTGGAGAGCAGGCCTGATGTGGAGGGGAGGGGAAGGGAGGAAGTGGGAGGAAGTATGTCTCAGCAGAGGAGCTCTTTTTAAGAAATGGTATGTGTGTGTAAAAAGAATGAGCAGAAATGAAGGAATGAATGAGGATGAGCGAATGAGAGATGTTCAACATGGTCTTTTCTGGAAATTTTAGTAATAACTTTTCCAAATCATTTTTAGGCTAGAGAATTAGTTTCTTTTTCTGGCTCTGTCGCTAACCAGGTGTGTGGCATGGGGCAGGTTACTTCCTAGCACAGTGCTCGAGGCACGGCTCGAGGCTGGCGAAGAACGCGGGAGTGTGCAGGGCCCATGGTCACACACAGGCTTCAGGACTTCCTACCTAGCTGAACTTGAACAAGTGACTTTGCCTCTCTGCTTCCCAACTTAGTATTATTGAGCTGTGATTTTAGTTCTTTACTGGCTACTGTTGTGACTTTAAATGATAACCTTGGGGGGGCGCCTGGGTGGCTCAGTCGTTAAGCGACTGCCTTCGGCTCAGGTCGTGATCCTGGAGTCCCAGGATCGAGTCCCGTATCAGGCTCCCTGCTCAGCGGGGAGTCTGCTTCCCACTGTGACCCTCCCCCCTCTCATGCTCGCTCTCTGTCTCATTCTCTCAAATAAATAAAATCTTTAAAAAAAAAAAATGACAATCTTGTATCGCTATGTCTTCGTACTACCAACTTGGAGCAGACCTGCAGACCTCCCTCCCTGTAACAGGAGGCTACTAGCACCTCCCCCTTCTCCGCCTCCTCTCTCCCTCCTGCCTTCCGGCCCTTTCAGTGGTACTTCTATGTCGTCAGGGTTAATAATATCTGGACTGTTGTCTAACTCATTGCCTCCTGAAAACCATTTAAGAGTTTATTATTTTAGACTTTGCAGATATTATTCACTGCATCGGCAAGTGGTATATACTAGATTATATTTTCTTCTCTTTGGCTCCAGTGTCATAGTCCTTGTGCCACTCAGAATTACTCGTGATGTCAAGATTATGAATTCTCCTGGGGCGCCTGGGTGGCTCAGTCACTTGGCTGCTTGCCTTCAGCTCAGGGAGCCTGCTTCTCCCCCTCCTCCCCATGCTCTCTCTCGCTATCTCTGTCTCTCTCAAATAAATAAACAAAATCTTTTAAAAAAGAAGGGGGGGTGACACCTGCGTGGCTCAGTTGGTTGAGCGTCTGCCTTCGGCTCAGGTCATGATCCCAGGGTCCTGGGATCAAGTCCCACATCAGGCTCCTTGCTCCGCAGGGAGCCTGCTTCTCCTTCTGCCTGCTGCACCCCCTGCTTGTGCTCTATCTCTCTTTCTGTCTCTGACAAATAAATAAATGTTAAAAAAAAAAAAATGATTATGAATTCTCCTTCCTTAGCCTCCAATTTCTAAAGACCATTCCACAAATCCTCTTCACCCGCCTGCCTTCTGACATACTGGTTCACTCCAAATCTAGAGCCTCTGTGGGGTTCTGCCAGGCGTACCTGCTTCAGAAAGTCTTAAGAGATAAAGGCCCAGACCCCATTGGCAGGACTTTTGATTCAGTGAGTCTAGGCAGGCCTGGAGAACTCCCCATATGCCTGTGTTGCCCTGCCACATTTGGGAACCTCCAGGTCACATGCACACACTGTCCTAAGCATTCATAACTTGTCCAACTGAATTTTTTTTTTTTAAAGATTTTATTTATTTATTTGACAGAGAGAGACACAGCGAGAGAGGGAACACAAGCAGGGGCAGTGGGAGAGGGAGAAGCAGGCTTCCCGTGGAGCAGGGAGCCCGACTCAGGGCTCAATCCCAGGACCCTGGGACCATGACCTGAGCCGAAGGCAGATGCTTAACGACTGAGCCACCCAGGCGCCCCCCAACTGAATTTTGAAGATTCTTTTGAGTTCTTGACCTGAACTTCTGGGAAAGTGAAATATATTGAGTGTTACAATATAGTGCTGTGTATTGAGGTGGGGGATGTGTGTATGATACAGGGAAGGGGCCCAGGAGGAAAGGATGCCAGTCATAAAGTGAGTTCTTTTTTTAAAAAAGATTTTATTTATTTGATAGAGAGCGCATGAACAGGGGGAGGGGCAGAGAGAGAGGGAGAAGCAGACTGAGGGAGCCCAATGCAGGGTTCAATCCCAGGATCCTGAGATCATGACCTGAGCCGAAGGCAGACGCCCAATCAACTGAGCCACCCAGGCACCCCCATAAAGTGAGTTCTGATGTTTAGATGTGAGGCGTCTGTGATCTTTCCCTGATGAAATCATTTCTTAACGTGGAGATGATACTTACATCTCAAGATCAACAAAACTGAAACCTGAAACCAAAGTTAAAAATGTGTTTGTAACCTTTATGTGAGTTTTTAATTAGAGTAGGGCAGAGAGCTGTCAGGAGGCATAACTTTGCACTGGAAGCCTCACATCAAAGACACTGCTATATTTTATGGTGCGTACACCTGCCTGTTAAGCCCAATAATACATTACGTTTGTAAATTTCTTGTTTACAAAGCACTTTTATGTGCATTTTTTAAAGTTCGTAAGATACTAAAAACATCTTTCTCCAAAACTGTTTTTGTATATACCCTAGATACAGAATAATGGCACACTGAACCTGCTTTGTGGGCTGCAGCGGCAAGGACCGGATCAGGCCGCAGCTGAGGGAGGAGGGCGTGTGTGGGCTGGAGAGGACAGGAAGCTGACTTGGTGTGATTCGTGCCCATTAGCAGCTGCTGGGGCAAGGAGCTCAGGAAGTTCTGTTGTCCAAAAGTTGCAGGTCAACAAGTCAGGTTTTCTAAGAAATAAATGCCCAGACCACTGGCCAAACTTTTGATTCAGTGAATCTGGGGCGGGCCTGCAAAACTCCCCATATGCCTGTGTTGCCCTGCCACGTGTGGGAACCTCCAGGTCACATGCACACACTGTCCTAAGCATTCAGAACTTGTCCAGTAGAATTCTGGGGATCTGGTTTGACCATATGCTACCAAAGCAACTAGATTTATTCTCTTAGTATATACTTGTGGCAGGGGTCTCCAGGACCACCCCTAGTTTCAGTGATTTACCAGGAGGACTCAAAGGACTCAGTAGCTAATTGTACTCACAGCTATGATTGACTGCAATGACAGGATATAGAGCAAGCCCAGCAAAGGAAAAGGTGTGTGGGGTGAAGTCTGAGGATACCAGGCACCAACTTCCAAGAGGCCTTCCCCAGTGGAGTCACACAGGACGTGCTCAGGCTTCCACAACCAGCTGTGACAACAGGTGTGACATGTTGTCGACCAGGGAAGCTCAGTAGAGCCCCAATTGCCCAGGGTCTCTTGAGAGTTGGTCATGTAGGCAGTCTCTGTGTAGCAAGTACGAAAACACCAGACTCCAGAAGGAAGCAGGTATTTAACACAAACCATGTTACTTGCACAAACATTTTAGGTTCAGCGAGCCTTTCTTACCACTTCTGGGAATGGTGGGAACCCTCCCAAAATCTGAGTTCCCAGAGGACAGTCCAGGGCGCCCCTTCAAGCTGGTCCCGTAAGGAGAGTGGTCTCAGGTCTGCGGTGTAAACGCTTCTGCATGGCACCATTTTCCTAAGGTGTCCTGGAAGTGCTTTTCCTGTTTTCTCAGCCAACCACACTAAACTATGAGTCAGTTCCTGCTTTATTCCTGCACATGCAGTGAACTGCTGAGGCCAGTTGATCCTGCCCCCTCTGCTTTCCTCTGAAAGCTTTATAGTTTTAGCTCTTACATTTGGGGCTATGATCCATTGTGAGTTGATTTTTGTTTGTGGTATGAAGGATCCAAATTTATTCTTTTGCCTGTTGATATCTAGTTATCCCTGCAGCATTTGGTGATAAGACTGTTCTTTCCCCCACTGAATTTTCTTGGTACTTTTGTCAAAGCAGTTGGCCATAACTGTGAGAGTTTCTGGAAGCATTTGTTATTAATATGGTCACTTGGTCCCCCCATTTAACATATGGTACCTGGACTCAACTGTGCCTAATATCTCCAGATCGGATGCCATTTCAAGTGTCTAAAGAATAAACGTAGAATCTGCTGCTTCTGGAGTCAGGAGGTGTTGCCAGTTCTCAAGACAAATATTCTGTGCTATACCTGGGCTTGTCTAGCCTTAGCTCCTCTAGCTTGAGGTCGTCTCAGACCTCCTCAGGCACCTTTCCCATTCGTTTTCTTTTCAGCTCCAAACATTTTTACAGTCTCCTCTCCTACTAGTTCATTTCTGTGGTTTTCTATTATTTGATGTCAAAATCCCTTTTCTGTAATTTAGTGGTTTGGGGTTTATTTTTTTATTTCTTTTTAAAGATTTTATTTATTTATTTGAGAGAGAATGAGAGAGAGAGAGCACGAGAGGGAAGAGGGTCAGAGGGAGAAGCAGACTCCCCACTGAGCAGGGAGCCCGATGTGGGACTCGATCCCGGGACTCCAGGATCATGACCTGAGCCAAAGGCAGTTGCCTAACCAGCTGAGCCACCTGGGCGCCCTGGTTTGAGGATTTAATGAAATTAGGATTAAATAATCCTCCACTAT